GAGTGGAGCTACACCAGGGTAGAATTACAGCCCACGTTTGCAGTAAGCTGTATTCTGAATTGCTTGGAAACATTGGGTGTCTAGAAAATGTGACTCACAAATGTCATTATTCGGTTCCCCTGAGGATTAAAGAAACACTTTTCCAGGAAGCAAGTGGTTCTTGTTTTTTGAGAGTAATCAAAATCCTTTCCCAGAATCTGCTCTGGGGAGGGCTGGTAGTGAGGTGTCCCCTTGCCCTCCTGCTTTCAGATCCAGCCAGTCTATCTCCATTTACAGTGAACCCGTCCCTGTCCTATCTTGGCACAGCTTAAATAGATCGCATCGAATTTGAAACCTCTCCATCCTGTTCCTTGTTCTAGATGCTGTCTTAAAGCGAGATCACTTGGCTGGGTGTGTTGAGAGGACCGTAGCTGGGATGTTCTGGAGCTCCATTCCGTGTTGGGAGTGCCTACTGGCTTGCACTGTGTCCCAGCAGCATGACGCTGGGGCGGCCGAGTCTGAGGTGGGGAGGATTTCCACCTCAAGCCTGTTCTTGTGCCCCAATCAGTCTGATCCTGCAGGCTGTTGGCATTCATTATAGCTGCATGTTGTCTTCACGCTGATACGGTTTGGGCACTCAGGTTCTAACTGAAGTTTAACTTGTCCCGTTTCGCTGCTGCCTTTCTGCTGGACCTTTCACCTGGGGGAAACAGGCTGACGTACCGGCTGTTCATAACCTGAGATGAATGTATCCTATATGACAAATGTAAGATCTGCACCATGAGGTTCTTGGTGCCAGCCCTGACTGGGGTGTAGCATCTGAAGTCCGCCCACGTCTCGGGTCCAGCCACAGCAAGTGGGGTTCCACTAAATTATCGAAGGCGTATAGTGATGAGCCCCCAGTTGGCAGAACCAAGAAATAGCTGTTGTCAGTCATGCTGGTGATTTTGGCGATGTGGGAATCTGTTACCTCGTCAACGGGCTGTGAGAGGGCCATGATTTTCAGTCACTGCCGCCTTCATCTAGGGTTGCTTCCTTCTTAGATTTGTCCTGTTGTGCTGTCATCTCCATGTCCCATAATGATACTGTTATGTCTGCCCCAGAGCAAAGTTGGGATTTTCTGTGTGAGCCAGATCCAAAGCCTGTTGAACTCATGTAGCAAGCAAAGGTTAAACCCTTTAAATTGGGACAGGTGGCCACCCTGTATCCTCCTTCCACCTCCCTCCTCACCCGATCCTAATCAGGGGCTTGTGTTTCTTTAAATGCTTCATGACAAGGATTCCAGTTAGGGGGTTGTTTTCGGTAGTTGAATTTGCTTTTCATACCTTTTTTAAATATTTGCTCTCTGGTAGCTGCTGAGCAGTAAAATACGAGAGATTTCCTGTTGGGTTGTGGGGAGGGTTCCATTTTGGAAGCAGGACAGACCTTGGATTCAGTGAAACCTCTCTGGTTCTGTGGGGAATAAGCCATAATTAGAACGCGGCAGGTTTTCTTTTGTTGGTTCCTGCATTGTGCTTTTCCTGTGGCCGGTTGAGTGCCGTCCAGATGTTTGGTATTCAGCCGTATCTGGCTGGGGGAAGGCCAGGGAAATGTGCTGGTGTTGCATTAATGTAGACAGTGGCTCTGGCAAGCTGAGCTTGCAGCTCTGCAGATGTATACAAACCTGGCACCACTCGGGGAGGCAGAGGCCAGTGTGATTCCTATTCATTGCTAGACTCGCTAGGGGATTCCGTGCAAGGGAGGCGTGGACAGAAGTGGCTTGTGTGATCTATTTTGAGTGGGAGTGGTTGCAGGGAAGAGTGAAAGGGACACTGGTCAGTAGTTTAAACCAAAGAATATGATGGTTTTAAAAACAGCTCGTAATTAGGAGAGGAACAGATTCTAAATACATGGCGGCTCCAAGGCTATGGAACTTTGTTAAACTGGATTTGATTAAACTGAACTGCATGTTGTATGTTCATTTCCATAAGTTCAGGGAGGAAAAACCTTATTTATACAATTATTATTATTATTATTATTATTATTTATTTGTTTTGTTCTCTTGGGAAAAAAACTACAGCCTTAAATAGTAAAATGATTCCAAGATGTGGTTACGCTTGTGGGGGGAACTGTTTGAAAATGTGAGAATGAAATGTTCAGGAACTCCGAATAATCTTAACTCTGCCCCCGTATCTCACTGCTCTTGTCTATTATCCATATCTGGCAGATAAGAAATGCTTATCATTGAGTATGGCAATTTGACAAGGCTTCGCACTGGTTGTGTAACGGACACAAATAGTTCTGTATCTTTTGCCAATGAAAGTGTCATTCATTGCGTGCAACATTCATTCTACTCTGTCTGGAAGAGCTAAGGTGCTAATGTGTCCCACTTAGTTTGGTGAGTGATATACTTACAGTTAGGTTTGTGGTTAGTGTTGCTAGAGTGGATGGGATCAAAGTGGTTGGCTATAGAGGCTGGGCTGTATGACTTACAATGTTAATTACCCTCCCCCTCATGTAACACATGGATTCTCAAATTGGGGAGGGGGGCATCACATTATGATCACACTCCCTTTTTTGTGGCCAGACTCGAGGAGGAGGGTCCCAAAACATTTTTCTGTCGTAACACGAGGTCACTGCATAGGAAGGTTGAGAACCACTTACAAGGTGTGGAATAGAGATACTTGTAGAGGTGCTGGCGATGGCAATAGATGTGGCTTTTCAACTTCCGTTGAAATGGTGGATATAGACTCTGTGTGTGTGTGTATGTGTATTAGTCAGTAAGAGAAAATCTTGATAAGATCTTGACTCTATTTGGAAGGGTTTTGGTGTGTATGTGTAGGGTAAGAGCTGAGATGTTAGCATAGCAATCTTGGGAAGGGGCTGAGAACTGAAGGAGAAAAGAAGACCGTGGTCCAGTAGGAATTGTCTGTAGTGGGCACAGGATGGTATGTCGAGTATCAAACGGCGTAGCAGAAGGGTGCAGCTTTCAGTATCGTGGCAGAGCATATACAGTGTGGACTGTGTCAGACATTTTGGCAGGGATTTGGAAGCTGTGTGAAGGCCCGTTTGCAGTAATTTACCCCTGCGTTTCCAGCCAAACGTAACTTTAAAAGTAAACTTCAACCTTGGTTTGCTTTCACATTTTTAAAAAAAGGTCTAAGAAGCTCCCTGTCCCTCAAATTATAGATTTGAACTTTAAAACTGCAGCTTAACTAAACTGGGTGGGAGAGTGCGGTGGTATGGGAGTTTCTGAGAATTTTCCTCCCTCAATAAGCGTAATACATGATCAGTGACACCTTGGTGTATGTGTTTGATCGGCCTGGATTTTGACTGATGTATTAAACTATGTCCAGTTCAGATCTTTTTGACCCTCTTCCATACTGTCGGTTCACGTGCAGGCTTGTTAAAGTTCGCAGCTGCGTGATGAGCAGTAACAGACTACGAGCAACCAGGGTTTATAAACTCAGTGGCATTCTCAAAGTGTAGAAAGTGTTGTCCTGACTATGTCCAAAGCTAACCCACCAGACTTCACACCAAAGGCACCATCCTTGTTGATTTTCAGCGGAGTAAGCCGAGTTCAGAGATTCTAGGCCAAACCATATTTGATGGATGACCTGAGTCAGGAGGGGGCTGTGGGGAAAGAGAGTTGGAAAACATTACAAAGTGCAACCTCAAGTAGCCCCTGCATGAACAGAGTTGGTAGATCTCAATCCAGTAAAAAGGGATCCCACCAGAGAAATTTCTACCACCACAGCTGACCCTAGCTGAGAGTCTCTTAGTTGAGAAACCAAGGACTGAACAAGTCCCGGAGATTGAAATGCCCTCTCAACCCCTTTGAGGGCAGGGCTAAGGTGCACAGCTGGGGTGAGAGGAAGCTTGCACTTAGACACTGGGTCTGGCTGTGCAAGGCTCTGTAACCCGCATCAATAAACACAAGCCTCTTAAGGAGGAGAGAGGCAGGTCAGGATAAGAACAAGGAAGGGAGTTAAAATAACTAGGGGCCAAATGCTTCCTGTGCCAGGCTTGGAGTAGGAGGTAATGCCGGGGTTGTTGGGAGGAGGCCTCCTTTGCCACCTCTCCGGGTTGTGGAGCAGCCGTGGAATTGCTCCGAGTCTGCTCCCGACTATGCTGAAGCTGGGCTAGGCCTGCAGGGAGCTATGCTGGCTCTGCAGGGAGCTATGCTGGTGGATCCGCTAGTCCCCACGTCACTGTGCGGAGATGTCGGAGAAAACTGGATTCCAGTGCGTGTGAAACAGACACTCCTGCTGCAGAGGGTCATTAAATTGCCCCCACACCACCATCCCTGCCCGGGCTCCTTGTCCTTCCACAGAATGGAGCGGGATTTATTGCAGGTGAAGCAATGATGAATGGTTTTATAAAGCAGCCTCCCCATCCCTGCCCTTCAACTTATCCAGGCAAATGCAGTTTGTTATGTCTGGGTTTTCAAAGAGTTAGGTGCCCAACTCCCCTAGGCCTTGTCTAGCACCAACAGTGTGTAATGGCTGCTAATGTCACCTGTGTACCCAGAAGTCCCTTGGATAATGATAGTCACGTTATCCGTGCCCTTCCCTGGGCCTTCTCTAGTGACTGAGGGATCCTGGGGCCTTTCCAACAGCCGTGATGCCAATGAAAAGTGCAAGCCGCAAGGTTACTAGAGAGGGCAGCCTGCCTGCACAAGCCTAGGGATAGCATGTATCTGTAGGGCATTTGTAGCGCTTTACAGCTTCAGAACACTGAGTGGCCATTTACTAATGAATTCTCCAGACACCCTTGTGAGCTAGCTAGGATAAATCACAGCCAGTTTTGCAGAAGGGAAAGCTGAAATGAAGTGATTTGGCTGAGGTCATGCAGGAATCAGTGGCAGAGCAGAGAATTCAACTTCAGCCTCTCCAGTCCTAGGCTAATGCCTAACCATTGGGCCATGCTCTCCTCTCCCCTGTTCCCTCCTTCATTGGTGTGTTTGAGAACTCAGATACCCCATGGCTGTTCTGCTACATTTTCAGTCCTCTCATTTCCTTTTCCTTCCTCTTTTCCCCCAGTCGATATTCGTGAAATCCAAGAGATTCGTCCAGGAAATAATTCCCGAGATTTTGACCGATACCAGGAGGATCCCTCTTTCCGGTCAGACCCGTCTCACTGCTTCGTCGTCCTCTATGGAATGGAGTTCAGGCTGAAAACTCTCAGCCTGCAAGGTAGGCAGTCCCCTCCGTTAGCTTTGCATTTGCAAGGTCATTTTGATTGCATGCTCCTCGGGGCATTTAACGTAAGATCAGTGCCAAAGGTAGTGTAGACATTCTCATTTTGGTTTAAGGGTGGCTTGTTTCAGATTAGCGTAGGTCAGTTAGGAACAGGCTTAAACTAAAACTGAGACAAGCCACTCTAAACAGCCTTCGGCACTGATTTCCCTATATCGGTTTACAAACCAATTTAAGTTAAATCGGTGCATCTTTCTCCTGTAGACAAGCCTTGGTGGGCAGCCGTGCTGGCTTCTGCATATGCAAGACAACGGTGTCTTCTACACGGCGATTGCCAGACCGCACAGGGAGAGAGATGTTATTTTCTAGCTTCAAAGAGGATACAGCAAACAATGGGGAGGTTAAAAAGAAATCCGCGCACATTCTAAAAATAGCTGTTGCTTGTGTCTCAAGAGCAGCTGAAATTCGCTCCTTGAAAACAAACAGGCACCAAGAAACCCCAGGGCCTTGTCAGCGAGGTGGCTTAGAACGCTGAGTATGGAGGTGAATAGGAACCGACCAGTCATGTGTATTGAGAGAGATGTGGGTGAGAGCTTAGTAGTGAGAGCTGATGGTCGGAGACAATCTCACTGGGAGAACTGCTGTCTGAGGGAGACGTTCTGGGGAGCAGGAGAGGATCAGAGATCAGCAAGGTGGGAGTTACTGACAATGCAGGGAAGGGATGGGCACTGGAGGGGAGAACAGACAGGGGTGCTGTATTTTTTTTATATTAGGCAATGGATGGTGAAAGAGGGGTTGACACGGATCCACCTTGTGGTGATGTTTAGGCCCCTGGCCTGGCTGGATCCACTTCCTCCTGCCATGCTGCAGCTGTGCCGGGGCTTCCTCCATGGAAGCCAGGGTCAGTGCGGCTGCCTCATTCCTTCATGGGCCCTGTTCTTTATTTTCACAGCCACATCCGAGGATGAAGTCAACATGTGGATCAAAGGGTTAAACTGGCTGGTGGGAGATACTCTCAGAGCCCCCACCCCCCTGCAAATCGAAAGGTAAGGCGAGCATCAGGGAGGTGAGGAGCCAATGACACCAAGGCGGGCACAGGGCAGGCAGCCGCTCTGCTGGCTTGCCCCTCACCGCTTTGCTCAAGCACCTGACTTGGCAGCAGCGTCTTTGCTTTGGTCCAGTTTGTCCTCAGAGCCCTTCTCCGCCAATGCACTTCAGTCCTCGCCCTCCTCCATTTCTCTGTGGCTCCAGACACCATGGTCTGCGCCAAGACGGCTGTCTGTCTTGTCCTTTCCTGCAGCATCCCTGCAACCCCACCCCGCTCTGCCAAGGCATCCGAATCCTCACTGGTAGCATCGCCTCTTCCAGATATGCTTTTGTGCTAAGTCACCTCAGCAGCCCTGCCAATTGGGTGAGAGCTTCTGGGATCTGAGTAAGGAGCCACTTAGAGCTTAGGCTGAGAGAGGCCCACCTCATTCCACTTATGAACTACAAAGGGTTTGAGCCCAGGGCTCCCTAAGCAAAAGGTTTCATTGCATTGACCTGCTGTGGTAGTGATCCTCCTCTTGCTCCATGATCAGGAAGAGCCTGATCCTGCATGCAGTAGGGGTTCTGGGTGCATAAAAAAATGTCAGAACACAGGTCTGCAATAAGAAACTAACCTGCTTCACAGGGGTGCAGCCAGGCATTCTGATGGGTGCGGGGGGATGACACCGAAGGGAGTTGAGGACAATTCAGTACCTGGCAGAATTAGGCCTGGAGAGAATGTTGGATACCGAGCAATCAAGATTTATGTAGTAAAACGACCGTGTGCGTTTCCTTTTAGGTGGCTCCGGAAGCAGTTCTACTCGCTGGATCGCAACCGAGAAGACAGGTAAAGAGAGAGGAGCTCTTGTTTACGCAGATTTAGGTATTTAGAAAAGTTGGGCCTGTTTTACTCAGTGCTAAAGTCTCAAAATTGAAGACGTCTCAGGTGCTCCTCACTTGGCATAAACTGTGAAATGCATTTAGAAACCAAACGTGTAATACGGGCATTTGAGCACCTACTGGTGCTGTCCCTCCTTCTAAAGATCAAAACTAAGGGCTTGGCTACACACACATTTAGTTGGTGTCAAGCTGGGGTGTAAATTTACCTTGCACTAGCCTGCGGTGCACTAACTGTCTGTGTGGATCTTGCTGATAGCACATTAACAGTTCCTTAGTGAGCTTTGATCTACCCTGCTTTGGCATGGGACTAGCTCAAAGCTCACTAAGGAATTATGAATGCATCAGCAGGGTCCACAGGGACCATTCATTTCAAGGCAGGCTAGTGTGGGGTAGATTCACACCCCAGTTCATTGCGAACGAAACATTGGCGTAGACAAGCCCTAAGACACAGTCTTGCAGCTCTTACTCTGGTGAGCAATTCTGTTGAAGTTCGTGGGGCTTGCTGATCTGAGTGAACCTTGCTCATCTGAGCTAGGCTTGTAGAATCAGGCTCCTAATTTGTAACACTGATAACATACGGGTTTAGTGTATTGGTGTTTCCCTCTGACTTTTAAAGGGCTTTGTCAGTTTTAGCTGAAGTCCAAAGCGTAGGCTGTGTGGGTTTTTTTAAGAGGCTTTATATACCCTAAGAGGAGTCTAAATCTTTTCATGGTTATTTGAAATACTCCATGTAAACAGGTTTTTTTGTTTTCTGTTGACCCTGTGGAACTCTTTGCCAGAGGATGTTGTGAAGGCCAAGACCATTACAGGGTTCAAAAAAGAACTAGATAAATTCCTGGAGAATAGGTCCATCAATGGCTATTAGCCAGGATGGGCAGGAATGGTGTCCCTAGCCTCTGTTTGCCAGAAGCTGGGAATGAGCGACGGGATGGATCGCTGGATGATGACCTGTTCTGTTCATTACCTTTGGGCACCTGGCACTGGCCACTGTTGGAAGACAGGATACTGGGCTAGATGGACCCTTGGTCTGACCCACTAGGGCCATTCTTATGTTCTTATGACCCGTTCCCTGTAGTTAGGAATGCAAAACACCAGGGTATTGGGGTCTCCTGGGAACCAGCAGGGGAAACTGAGCCATGGAGCCCCAATTGAACCATACCGTGCAAAGCAATATACAGCAGCAACAGCCCAATCGGTGCTAAAACCTTTTATTTGTGTTACTTTCCCCACCCCTCAACCCCCATCACCCCCTTGTTTCTCACCCATTTGTCTTGTCTTTTAGACTGTGAGCTCTTTGGGGCATGGACTGCGCCATTGACAGTGTGTTTGTGCCGGTCCCATCCTGGTTGAGGTCTCTTGGTGGGACTCCCTCTCCCCTACCGTGAGGAGGGCTGGTCTGAGGTCTGGGCACCGTGTAAGCTCCGCTGGGATTTCAGTGGTGTGTAGATTTGTGCACAAAGGTGAATTTCATCCAGTGAGAGGAGCTCTGCCCTCTGAACTCCGCCACTGCTGACATGAATTTAAATGGGTACTTGTTCAGACTGCCCTCCACACCAGAGTCAGCAGCCGTCTCCTCTTAGGGCACTGTTCCCTGCCTCCTTTCATTTTCCATGACATGGTTCTCCTTAGTGATGTTAACAGAGCACATTAACCTTTCACTATTGATTTTTTTTTTTTTTTTTGTAAGTGCCTTTCCCCTTGAGATGTGAAACATTCGTCCATTACCGCTGAACAGTGAGAGAAGGGGGTGCGGGGGAAGGCTGTGGAGGCATTGCTCATGCAGCAGTGTGTGTCCTCAGATTACAATAAGAAACCTGCTGGACTCCATCTGCCAAAGGGTTATATCTGCCCCCTTTATTTATCTAGGCATTAATGCCATGCTTATTGCCATGGTGACTGGGATTAAATATTCCAAAACGTCTCCTGTTTGTCCTTTCGCCGTTCTGCTGATTGTGTTGTATGGCGGGAAGGCCAGCAAGTTCCACGTTCCACCCGAAGGCTTGTTACTCTAATCCCTGCAGGAAGCCACTGCCACGCTCATGACACAGCAGCCCGGGAACGTCTCTCCCGTGTTCGTGAGCTTTGCTTTTGCTTTGTGGCATGTTGCTGTCCTGGGAATGTGACAGGTGGGTTTGTATCATGGTGGGGTATCACGGGCCGTTTTCACAGAAGGCCTTGAATACCAGAACCAATCCTTGACTCTGCATTTAGTGGGAAACCAGTGGTATGAACAGATCCCTTGGGGGCATCCGTTGTCCTCTGACATTTCACATCACCTGCTGATCTGTGCCCTGCCAGGGGAGAGCCTGCCACCTCTGTCGTGATCGCCCACTCTCCCTTCTGCAGTCTGTGAGCCTGTTTTTCAGCTGCAGCTCATTCTGACCCAGTGCTGGCTCTGGGCAGAAACAGGCCTCTGAACTCAAGCAGCCTGGGCGTAATCAAACCTGGCCAAAATACAGGGCAGAGCATGTATGAGAGAGGGAGGGGAGTGCTTCATGTTGCTTGGATCCGGATGGACTTCTGTCCGTGTATCATGGCATGGTGAGAGTGTTGCCTTGTCCATTCTGAATGTGCCACTTAGAGGACTGGAGAGGTGATTAATGCTTGTGCAGCAGAGAGGAACAGAAGTGTTGTCTTTAGTATGTTCTAGCAGCGCTAATGCATTTAATGGACCTCTGTAATTGTTACTTGTTTTTTAAATATTTTAAAACTCTGTTTTCCTGTTTCCACTGCTCCTTGTGTGTTCTTGGGGGCTGGGAAGGGGGGGAGCAAAGATACAACTGATTGGCTCATTTAAACAGAGTCCTTGTTAAGGTGAGTGCTAATGGGGCTTCTCTTTGTATGAGAGGGTAAGAGCCAAATTACCAGGCTCAGGCCTCCAAATCTAAATGCCAGCTATATCTTTTGCATGTTTAGCTGGCCTCTGGGCGTGAAAATTGGATGTTTGGGTGCTCAGCAGTTCAATGTGTAGATGCAAAACAGGTGCAGACGTAGAGGTACAGATTTGGAGGCTAGATTAAAGAGAGATGAAAACATGGCCCTTATTTCAACGGCTCCAGTCACACACACAGCTGCTTTAAAAAGACCATCAGATAAAATGTGGCATAAAATTTAGATTTTGTGTACTTACATGTGTGTACGTACACGCACACCCTGACCCTTCCCTCCACCCAGAAGCCACCCGAACAGAACATGAATTCTTTCTGTATCCAAAACCCAGAAGACACATTGCTAGCATTCTTTAAATATATAATCTCTCCAAGGCATTTGAAATGAAGTGAAGAAAATAAACTTTCTCCTTCGGTGTTTGCCAGTGGTAGCACCAGGCAAGTCACTAGAGCCTTCAAATGAAATTGACTAAAAGCAAAATGCGAAAGTGACTAGTCTCCTTCTGTTGTCCAAGTTGTGAGAGGTGCAAAATGTTAAGCCAGGAGCATGAAGAGTGAAAGTAAATGAGGTTTTAGTTGCTTCTGTTTTATAACAATCTTACGTACTTTTGGTAAAATAGTTGCAGAGGTTGTGGCGAGTTAAAAAGTATGGGATGAAATCTGGCCTCAGTGGGGAGTTGTAACATTTCTTTCAGTGGAGCTGGGTTCATCCATGGTTTTGAACCTGGAAATGGCTTTTAAGAAGGGAGCAGTGAGCTGTGTTTTTAAAATAATGTTCTTTAAAAATCAGCAACAAACCAACTGTCCATTGTAGCAGGTTCTTGGAAGCTGGAAAATAACATCCCCATCACCACCACTTACTAGAGACCCCGTCTTTCGAACAGGCATGTATTTAGTCACATACACGTGGGCAGTCCTGTCGACTTCAGCGGGGCTACTTGCATGTATACAGTTAAGCAGGTGTGTAACCAACTGCACATGCAGGACCTAGTTTTATACCAACACTTTTAAAACCAATGGTGTGTATATGATTCCCCCCCCCCCCAACCCTCTGTTGCAGGTGCTGTAGGACAAACCCCCCCCCCCC